TATTGTATTTATTATACATATTATGATTATATCATTATTATTATTATATTATGTTATTGTTACATTATATTATATTGCAGCATTGTTTACATTATTATTATAAGGGCTGAAAGGGTCTACATATTCATGGATATTGTCAGAACACGCCTCTAACCCTAACTGTAACTGTAACCAAATCTGTAACTCGGACAATAACCTAATCCTGACTGCTAACCTAACCTTAACCCTAACACCAATCTAACCCTAACATTAACATGAACCTCAACTCTAACCCAAACATATCCCTAACTCTAATTTAAACCTAATCTAAGGCACCCTAGTGAGGTTCCAATCTTCGTTCCCAATGATTATACCATAGACCTTAGGACTATAGACACTTCCAGCCTTATAGCAGGTCGATCATCCACTAATTGCATGGCTTTCACATCATTTAGTACAAGCTCACGCACGAGCAGGTCTGAATATGACCCCTCACGTATAAATAGAGGAGCCACTGATCACTGAGCCTAGGTTATTCCCATCAGTAAGTAAGTATGAGGCAAACTCATCACTCAGTAGAAACCCTGCTAACAACCAAATCTAAGCACTACTACACTACTCACATCAATATTTAATTAGGAAAGCCTACTTCACCACTAAGTGTCAGGTCTGCCAATCACTGTGCATCCGCCCTACTAGCTAGAAAACATGTGAATGAAGGGGAACACTTCACCAGGGCCTATAACACAGTCCAAGCGCCTGCCCCACAATCAAGCAATGACGACCTCTAGGAATGAATTCCACCCACTCACCACCACACATGAATCCCTCCCAAACACTCAGCAGACACACCAGTATGCACGATAACCCAGTAAGGGTAGTGGCCTATCCACTTTATGTGAGTGACAGACGGCCTCTAGCCAATGAACACTGCAACACGGACATGCTAAAAACGCTGCTTAGCAACAAAGTGCCGCAACATCGACGTTTTAGCATGTGTACATGAAAAACATACTAGGGAAACTGGTCTATGTTGACCGACCAATCGACTATCTAAACAGGAGGTGTGGTTATATCTCAGACCGGATGGATAGGTGAATCGTGGGGGATTCATGGCAGTATCTCTGCATTACTCTTAACTAACAACCTAATGAGATAGATATAATTAGTGTATAAGCTACGACGAAGCCCTGTTGGGGTTTCGCTATCATGGCAACATTCCAAGGCAAAAAACTACCACGCCCGTTCGCCACTCGTTTGATCGATAGTCCCAAGGTGCTTACGGAAAGATGACAACAGCTTCAAGCTAGCTTGCAACCATTAAAATGTAATGGCCCCAGTCGTGAATCACCTGACAAACACCAACCCACGCAACCTGTGCTCTGCTGCTGCTGCTGCTGCTGCTGCTCTCTCTCTCTCTCTCTCTCTCTCTCTCTCTCTCTCTCTCCCTTTCCTCCCTCCCCCTTCTCTCTCACTCACTGTCTCCACTGTTGTCATCCTCATCCTCCGGGAAGCCGAGATCGAGTGGCTCCTCCTTGTTCGACAGCACAGACTTCTCGCTGATCGTGCTCTCCTCGTTCTGCAATGCGCGCGGACAGGCAGAGAGACACCGTGAGCATGGGGAAGCCAGACTAATGAGAGATGAGCGAGCCGCCCCGGGGGGAAATGCTTCGAATTTTCCCCGACGCATTTATTTATTGCTAACCTAATTAACTTGATGATTATTTAATTATATATGGCAGTGAGCTAGATACATTTCTCCAGTAAGAGTCGGCAGATGAAAATAGAGATAAACTGTCTTTCCCGAGGGCACAACAGCGGTGACTGGCGTGGGATTCAAACCCTAGACCCTTCAATATTTAATATTTAATTTTTATTCAACATTTAATATAATACTTTTAATAATAAGTATATTAGGTGAAACTGATAACATGAACGTGCAACGAGATAGATTCAGGCGTCTTTCGAAAACCCTCCGATAAGGTAAACACATCACAGAGAGTACCACATCGATTTCATAACCGGATATTACTAGATAAAGCATTTCAATTTTGTTTCTGGACTTGGACTCTGAAACTCAATTTAAAGAGCACCCTCCTCACCAATTCAAAATCAATACGGCGGCAGCAGGGCATGCCCAGGCTGGCTGTACAGCAAGCACTTGACTGCGAGCGAACAACACGGCAATGCCAGCAGCTAGCCGCGCTGGCTCATCCATCATCCAGTCTTAAGCCAGCATGAGTCAGCTGCGTTACTGACATGGTGGCTAAACGCTGCGTCGTCATTCACCGTGTACTGCCACCGCTCGTAATATAACACTCAAACAATTATACAGTAACGAGCACTAACGCTATGACACAAATGTGATGACGTCATTTACTTATAAGTTTTCGGGATTTGTTACAAGTTTCGATGTTCACTTGTTTCGGGGGAAGTAAAAAGAGCGGGGTGTGGCGAGAGAGGAATGGAATTGTTCGAGTATTTTTGGATTCGGGCAATGTCGTGTGACGACAAACATATATAGTGCGCGTTAAAGGAATACTTGACTTTAGGTTCTAGGGTTATTTTCAGTTGATTTAGGTTAAAATTACGCTACATTAAAAATTTCATGGTTCAATCACCATTAGAAATTTTTTTTTTTAATGTTTTAAAACTAACATCTACAGTTTGATTATGACGGTCTGGCACCACTCAAAGTGCACTATCTGAAAAGTTGTGCAAATGGACTATTCAGCCAAGGGCTACAGACCGAGGGTGTTTCTTATTTATTAATTTAAGAGCAAAAGGATTGCAATCTTTTATAAATGACATATAGTTTCAGTTATAATATGGATAAATTTGTCATAAAATGAATATCGTTCGGTTAAATAGCATCTAAGTATAAAATATAATTGCACTTTTGTGATTAGCCCTCGGTCTGTAACGTGTAAAATAAATTGGCAAATGCGCAACTTTTTCAGGGTGGCAGCATGATCGCAGGTGTCATGTCAGCGCCCAAAAATGAAAATTTCGATAATTCAATTTTGTTTTATGACAAACGTGAATGCGTAATTATAGATATTTGTAGGTATGTGCTATTATTTATGAATCTACTGTCATAATATGCTCTCAAATTTTGAGTAGAGTATCTCTTTAACTCACTTTCTGCTACAGTAGTTAGCGTTAAGGATACTCTCAAGGTTTTAGGCAAAATTTTACCGATTTTCCATTTTCAACTTTATTCGATGACTAACAGTACTATGTGCCACCTCTGTATATGCTCATTTCTCCATATAACGGTACATGTGAACTTTTAGATCATTTTGATTTCCCGCGTACACGTGTAGTGAGCAGCAGCTGACGTCACTGATGACGTCAGAGACATGATACAACCATAATTTTCATGATATTCACTATGCCAGTATCAGTCCAATCAGCTCAGTCCCTGTAGTAGCTAGCACTAACCTATATAGTGTGTTAACTCACTTCCTGCTACAGTAGCTAGCGTTAACTCAGTCCCTGTAGTAGCTAGCACTAACATATATAGTGTGTTAACTCACTCCCCGCTACAGTAGCTAGCGTTAACTCAGTCCCTGTAGTAGCTAGTACTAATATATATAGCTCGCGCTAACTCACTCCCTGCTACAGTAGCTAGCGTTAACTCAGTCCCTGTAGTAGCTA